CCCCCCCCCCCCTCCCTTCCCCCACATCCTAGATCCGCCTACGTGGGGTATAGAAATTTACAATTACATAGGCAAATTTGATAACTTCACCTACTTCCACTTTTAAAAGGAAATAAATTTTTGATTATTTTGGACCAGATATGCCAAGAATAACAAAAGTGACCGAAGATTTGATGAGGAGATTGGATTTTAGTGATGATATGGGTGGGGATTGCCACATGCCTAGCGATCCCCTGTTACAATCCCTTCAACTTGAACTGTGAAACCTCGGTCGGATTCTTACCACCTGTTCAGCGTATGTCCATTACCTCCTCAAGGGTTGCCCAGCTGGTTATTTAGCTTCCCGCGGTGATTACTGCAGTGTTTACTCGATTGCTAGGGCGGGGGGAGGAAGGGAAGGTGGGCGGGGGGCGAGGGGAAGAAGGAGGGAGGAGTCCTGCGTTTTTGGGACTTTGCTTTATCACGATGGATAAATTTTTAAAATAATCCTGTTCTGGTCGAACTACGATATAAAAATTACTTAAGTAGAAATCAAGAGAGAGTTATTTTTTTTCGTCAAATTTCAGCTTCAATCGCATCGATTTACCACCCTATACGAGTTTCCATATAATGAAAGAACGATTGACAAAAGCAATTGAGAATTCCGAAATTTTTTCCGGCGTCGACTGATCCGCTACTTCAACAGCACAGTATGTCTAAGTTGCAAATTTTTATGCTTTTATATTTTGAATTAGTTGTAATCTATAATCTTTCTATGGTGCTGGCATTTTTCCTCAGTTGCTTTGTCCTCTGTTACTACATCGCTAGTTAACAGTTTATTGCCGACCCTAACGCCTATTTCGCCCTCTAAAAACGGACTACCAGCTCTAAGGTTCCCTTGAAAGAAGCAATTTGACAAGGATATGGCCGTTTCGAGATGTCACTTGTGTGTGTTGAGCATCATTTTACTCTATTTTGAGCGCTGTCACTTCTAAATTACGATGAGATATTTCGTAGAAGTTCAGAGAACACCTTTTTTCGGTAAAAATTTTTTCCGTAGAAGTTTGGAAATCGCGTTACCAATGATTTATAAAAGTATATTAGATCTCTTTCGTGACAGAGACGGAATTATTGAAAGCTTTGCGAACTTAAATCGTGTCTTTTTCCAGTTACTTTTTTCCGATTGCTTCTTTTTCTGTAAAAAATTTAAAAAAAAAAAAAAAAAAAACAAACTTTACTTTGCGTGAACTTTCTTCATTTTGCATTTTTGCATTCATCGATCTGTAAGTTTGTCCTCAATGTAACGGGCGAAAAATAAAGCCTGAAAACGAATGAATCTTGATGAATATGCTTACTGACAGCTCGGGCAATTTTTTCCCAGTAATTTTGAAATTAAATTTTCAGAGGGTATCATTTTTCGATGTCACTTTATAAAATCAAAATTGGAAAAGCAGCTCATATGAGGGGGTAGCGGGGGTCCAAAGGGAGGGAGGAGAGGGAGAGAGTGCATGGATTTTTTTCATCTGTTTGATAAAACGGGAAGGGATGAAAAAAAAGGAAGGAGGGGGGAGTGGGATTTTTGAAATAATTTCTAGAGTGCCACTGGAAAAAGACAGAGATACTTACACTGCTGTCATTTATATGGGCCCCAAAATTTTATACTATATTTGAAATTATCGGATTTATAATTCCCGAATGTTTTTTATATTTTTACTTGTTACCCGCGATTGTTTTTGGGAGATATTTCACCGGTACTTAGTATTTCTTGATATGTGCTACATTTTTTTTGTCTTTCATATTCTAGTCATTTTCTTTTTCATGAATTTCCTTTCTGCTTATCTTATCCGGTGCGAGCTGCTGTGCTACTGATGGTTATACTTATAGTCATTTTTATTCATAATTGGTGAACTAGTCCAAATTCGCTTTTTCCGATAAAATTTTCTGTGTTTACGGCTCAGAGATGAAACACAGGCAGGTTACCAAGTTAGTATACATACAGGCTTGCTTATTTGGGAGATTTAAATGGCACTTCCAATTTTTCATTAATTGTCAAAATTCGATTGTGTTCCTCTCCACGGTGGGCCAGCGGCGCCAAACAAACTGCATATGTTAAAACATAGAAGATTTCAGGCCTCCGTCCTCTTCCATTCTCCTAGCCAGGGATATTCA